TATGTTAACTAAATTAAATTTATATAAAAAAAATTCTTATGTTATGCTTATATATTTGCTTAAGTGCAACAATGAAAAATTCACTTGTACGACAAAACTACATTGATCGAAAGGCGATGATGAGTGAATTCAATAACGAAACTAGTGTGTTTACTAGCCTTCAGCACAAGCACTTGGTTTCGCTTCTGGGATTTTGTGATAACGGCAACGAAACGCTGCTTTTGTACGAGTATATGCCCTATGGAACATTGGCACATCACTTGTTCGATTGGAGTAACCATGGTCATAACCCTTTGACGCGGAAATCAGAGGATAACCATAGCGTTGGATGTAGTCAGGGGGAATTCAGTATCTTCATGGTCTAGCAAGAAGAGAGAATTAAAACCTTTCAACGTCCTTTTAGGAGATGGAATGAGAGCCAAGATTTCATATTTTGGATGTGTCAAGCTCACACGAGGGAGTAAACTCAATTCAGACAGTAACTGTGGTGGGAACGTTCGGTTATATAGACCCGCAATATCTTGGTAAGTTAGATTCCATAAATTACTTTCACTCCATAACTTTTTAAATGTATAAGTTTTTGAAGTTATGTTCGTAGGTACGAATAGGGTAACAAAAAGGCGGACGTCTATGCATCGGGTAATCCTAATGAAAATGATCACAGGAAGGAAATGAAACGACGAGATATTGAGCGAGGTGGAGCAAAATTTGGTGTGTGGTTACGTCCCAAGATAAAATATACCAAGTTCTTGAACTCGATAGATGAGACCATAGTAAAGGGCGAAGATACCATTGAGAGCATCAAGAAGATCGCAAAATGGGCTGATTACTGCACATCTCAAGAGGTTGAAAATAGGCCAGACATGTTTTAAACAGTGAACTATTTGGTTCCACTTGTGGAGCGTTGGAAGCCACCACCACCACCACAGGAAGAAGATGCATATTCCAAGGATACCATGACTCTTCGAGAGAAGTTGTATAGAAGAAAAATTGAAACTGCTGAAGAATCATCTTAGTTATTCAACTCAACTTGTACGATTCTTTTAGTTATTTATATGATACATTTGAGACATGTATGTCCAATCACAAATATCCAGAAGCAAGATGAACATAATATTGATAAAAAAATACACACAACCCAATCTTATATATCGACCCCGTTGATTAACTCAAACTCATTCCCAATAAATCTTTTATCTATCAATTGAGGAGACATTAAATGAAAAATCTCATGTGTTATTCAATGAAGGTTTTAGGACACATCAATTAAACTAAGTAATCAAAATCTTCTAATTAATTATATATGTCATGTTGGAAATCTCTACATATTTACAATATTGTTTTAATATGAACTCACAAATATTGAAATACATATGTTACTAATTTTAATCCAACTAAAATATAACACTTTAATATTTTAAACACCATATAATATTTTTTTTAACAATGAATCATTTACCGATGTAAAATACTTTATAAAAATTGTATTTATGTCCATTTGGATACAATATGTGATTGATCATACAATTATTTTATTTTATATCGTTTAGTTGTATCCAGATTACTCTAATTTAAGTTGTGCTTTTGTTATAAACGTACAACTTTACAAATTAAACATTAATGTTTGA